AACTCGGGTTCTGTGTGCACACCTCCCCACTGCACGCACGCTTCCCGTGATCTCAAAGCACGTTTAAAAAGCTACGTTAAAAACCAAACAAAAAAACCCACTCTTTTTAATTCTCCCCACAAGTTTTGCAGTTAATGGCTCCTCAACTGCCCTGTCACAGCATAGAAACTGTTACCGTAGTGCGATGCTGGCTCAAGTCTCTAAGGCTGTAAGCTTCACATGACACTCGGACTTGCAAGATTACAATAAAAAAAAAAGTAACATTTCAGAACCGTATTATTTTAAAGCAAAGACTTAAGAGAGTTTTAAATAACAAGTCAAAGTAGCACAAGATAATTAAAAATGAGACGCTTGCGGACTCACACAAACAGCAGTGCAGTCTCCTAAGTCCTAGAGGTACCAAAACCCCTCAAAATGACTTCCCCTGGTCTTCCCACCCAGAAACATCTCTGTTGCCACCCTCCCCAACCAATACTAAGTGCAAACAAACTTTGGAATTTGACTGAATTTATTTGGAGAACTAAGGGGGAAGGAATGCGTTGCACGGGAGTGTTGGTGATAACCACATAGAAATAGCCCAACCCCACGAGGGCAAACTGCTAGATGGGATTTCATGTTCTCTACTGTGCTAGATTATCCAGCTCAACTCTTAGTTTAAAAAAAAAAAAAAAAAAAAAAAGGAAGTTAGTCAAAACTACATTAAAGAGAAACTCATGCTCTTGCTATGGGTCTTCCGTCGATTTCCCACTTCAAGGTGTAATATAGAATAATTTCTGCAATGGATAAAGAAAAAAAACCCAGGTTTGAAGTCCTTGCACACCCTGCGCAAACACGGGCGACAGCGTCTCAACGCCGTCGGCCCAAAGCAGGGTCCTGTGGCCCACCAGTAAAGCAGTTCCTCCTCGCCTGCTGCCCGCCGGCCACCGAGAAATCAGAAGACTTTTTTTTGTAGCTATAAAGAAATTTATTTGGGGATGAGACTTTTCACTACTAGAAGCCAGGCTCTAAGCTGGCTCTCGGGATCTAACTCACGCTTTTCTTTGGACAATAAATTTCAAGTCGCACTTACTGTCCTAGTTTTCAAAAAGGAATGATGATGACAAAAAAAAAAAAAACAAAACCAAAAACCATTACCGAAATGCGTTAGTTTCAGCTGAAGCCATCTTCCATCAGAAACCATAGGATCTGATACAACAAAGTTCTCCCTAGGGATGTTTATGAGTAGAGTAGCTCAGTGCTTTGAATACTAGTACTGCTGTATTTTTTGTCTCGTATCAAAAAAAAAAAAAAATGTTACCCGCGTGTGCAGCCTCAGCTCTCAAACCACGGCTGCGTGCTTCACTGCTCACCCAGAGTCAGCCTCTCGTCCCTTGTGGGGGGAAAAAAAAAGAATAAAAAAAAAATTCGAAGCCCCAAAACAAAACATCACCAATGCCACGCTGGTTCAAACGGAGCGAGTTCCTCCGAGGGCTGACGGTGGGCCTGGGTTACTCCTTGGCATCCTGCTCCTCTCCCTCCTGGGCACCGTCTTCGCTGGCCTCCTTCTCCTCTTTGCTACGCTTGTTCTTTTTGTGCTTGTGACGCCGGTGACTCTCCCCCTCCTCGCTCTCGTGTTGCTTGCTGTGGCGGGGAAGAAAGGGGAGAAGAAAGTCACATCAGAGACCCAAACGCCCTGACCACGGCGTGCGCGAGGACGGGGCGCTTTGATCTAGAATAAACAGGAGACGACGCGAAGCGCCGAGGGCATCACGGTGCCGTTGAAAGGCTTCCCCGTGTTTATTTGGGACGATCTGATAGCCCGCGTGGCTGAACCGAGGGCAGGTTATGCAAACCGCTGGAGGCGGCTGCTTTACGCCACACGCTGCGTCGGTGCGCGGCCTCGGCAGGCGGCACGCTAGGCAGACTGCTGTCAGAATAATTTTTGCATTTTTTTTTTTAATAAGCAACATCTCTGTGTCCCTCCCACTCCTAAGGGAGCTCTAACGCTTTTGACATGTCTCAAGCTTCAGCGTGAAGAGCTGAGGCTGCTGAGAGAAGGAAGAGTCCTAAATTCGAGGTGTCTGAAACTTTCACTCCTCTGAACATCTTTGGAACAGGCTGCCCAGAGAGGTGGTGGAGTCACCATCCCTGGAAGTGTTCAAAAAACGGGTAGATGTGGCACTTGGGGACATGGTTTAGTCTAGTCTACCCTTGATTGGCTTAGAGTAGACTTGGTAGTGTAGGTTAATGGTTGGACTGGATGATCTTAAAGGTCTTTTCCAACCTAAACGACTCTATGATTCTATGATCTTGGGGAAATCCCTGGACTAGAGGCACGAAAGAGATCAGCGTAGCTAGAGAAACGTGGGCTTCCTAATGGGAGGCAGATCCTGTTTCTACTTCTGCTTATTCAGAAATGACCCAGCACTTCACCAGCTTTGTGCTTTAAAACTGCTCTGTCTCCTCACCCAGCACTGTTTTCCAGCCGCAGCAGGATAGCTGTGGACATTTATACAGGATTTCTGTGATGGGGGAGAAAATCCCAGCCGGAATCTGACAAGGTTCCGCGTGTCTCCGAGCCCTGCACCGCTGACCAGAGCCAGCCGCGCCGCGCACGCACAGATCACCCTCCGTCTCCAAAGGTGGGAGCTCTGGCTTTGCCCACCCTGGTTCATGGCCCCCCCCGGGAGGAGATTTTCTGTTGCTTCTCAAACGTGCAATTACTTCTCCTCACAGGTTGAAAACCAAGTGTGGTCTCTAGAGCGGACTGTGGTGTGAAGGTGGCGGAATTAAAAACAGAGCCCAGGAAAGAGCAGATTAAGTTTATCACAGGAAGACGTACTGTCACACAGTACAGACACCCCGCTCCACGAGTGGGGACAGTCAGGTGTAGAGACAAATCCGTACCGCAGCTGGGATACCAGTTTAGCAGCAGGCACCTAACTGGCCGAACCACTGAAGCCCTGGCTGAAAAGCTCCCGGCTTCATGTAATTTCCTGACTTGTTTAATAAACAGTTTCATAGTCATTAATATGGGGGAAAAAAAAAAAAAAAAAAAAAAAAAAAAAAAAGGTTAAAAAAAACCCAAACCCATGGCATCAACACAGAGGACATGCCTCTCCTCAACACATCTTCAGCCACTTCGTGGAGAGCCGCACGGCGGTGTTTTACGCTCGAACAATGTGACTCTCCTTTAATATTTAAACAAGCATCAGCGATTTCCTTCAGACTGGTCAATTTGCAGTGAACTAGAAACTACAAGGAAACCCTTTCATCTTCCTGCTAATGCCTGAAACAGGCTCAAATCTCAAAGTGCCTCAAGCGGGGACTCTGGTACGCGCTCGAAGTGGCCTTAAACACAAAGTATTCCTCCCTTTGTTTTAGCTAAGAAACACTTCCCACCCTACCACTCTGAGCAAGACGGAGAGCATCCGTGTGCGGTTTAAGGAGCAGAGGCAAAGTCGCCCGATTCCCGCCTCGTGCAGCGGCCCAGTTCTGCCAATCGAGCTCTCAAGCAGTTTCTGACACCGCTTTGGTGAACTCCATCCTGTCCACGCAGCCAGGTATCTAGCACTAGATTCCAATTCTGAGCAGAGGAAGCTGAGAAATAACCCTTAAAGCTACGGCCTTGTCAGTCTGGTATCAGTTCAGCTTCCATTTGTTTTGTATGCCGTTTTGATTATGGTCCTGGCCTTTCTACCCATCACTTTCGTTTCCAACCCTCCAGCAATCACTCCTCTCTTGAAAACCTATTCATCTCCATAAGGATGAGACCCAAGTTCAAAATAAGGGTAGTTACCTACAGAGCTGACAGGAGTTTCGTCTGGAAGTAAGCAAGCTGAAGCACCAGAAAAACCGAGCAAGTCTGCTCAAGGCATTACTGGGATATAAACTGAGACGACAACTGAGCATCACCTCAGACCAGAGACCAGACCTGCTACTTTGCTAGAAGAATGCTCTCAGAAGATCATCATCTGTAGCTGATACATTTTCTCCAGAAAAGCTGGCATTTTAGGACATCCTACCCTGTTCCAAAAGTGTTCCACCTTTGTCCAGATCATCATCAACCTCACTATGAGAAGCACTGGGCACAGAGCTCCGATGGCGCAGCGCTCAGCCTCCTGCTCCGGGAGGACATTTCAGATTACAGGCTGCAGAAAGCTCTGCTCTTCTGCACAAGAACACGTAATACTGAAAAGCTGATGCTTCTGTTAGGGTTTTGCATTTTACTTTGCATGTACTTTCTTAACAGCGGGAGCTATGCTGTTCTGATGTGACGTTTAGCACAGGTTAACCTCTCCTTCGTCCGTCGGTGCTGCAATTTTGTCGGCAGCGATTTGACATCCTGCCAGCTGCCTTACTGAGGACTTCCAAACACCAAGGACTCCTCTCCGACAGGCAGTTCTGCCTCCTGCCCAGGTACGTGCCCGAGAGCGCTCTCTCTGCCTGGGCGTCGCGTCTCAGGACATCGGCAGGTCACAGGAAGCCAGCATAACCCGGGGCGACAGTTCTGAGAACATCAACCTTCTCGTCTGCAGCTAAGGTGCCTTCCCACCCACAGCCCAGTTCAACCCTAAACAGCTCTTACCGTCTTGAAGACTTATGCTTGCTGCTCTCCTCTTTGTCTCTGTGCCTGCGCTCTCGGTGACGATCCTCTCGCTCCCTACTGCGGTCACGACTCCGGCGGTAGTCACGCTCAAAGTCGTAGCTGCGCTCTCGGCTGTAGTAGCGGTATCGTTCGTCATCGCTTAAGGAGAGAAAGGAGAAGTGAGGCAGAGGAACACAGCACTTGTGGACCTGAAAGTCAGGAGCCACGTTGGCGGGACTGTAGAACCCCATCCTCACCAACAGAATCTGTCACCAGGCTGAGGTATTTGTGCTGCTCCTGAAAAAGCCTGCACCAATGAGCTGCTGCTGCTTGTTGCACCCCAGCTGCAACCCAATCATGGTTTCTAACCACAGCGAAATAACTTTCTCCCTTCGCCTATTACATAGCTCGCAAGCCCAAACGGTTGAGTATCGTGGCTTTCTCCTGGCCTCTCAAGGCAAAGGGTTTACAAAATTTGTTCTTTGGATTTGCCAAGGGACTACCTTAGCAGCAGGCAAGTGGCCAACGTCTCAGGGCTTTTGCCCTCACAATCCTTCGGGAGCATGTCCAAGACATCCAGCTACCTTGTTCAAAACCAACAGAAACGCGCTCCTCTTACCCTTCTGCCTCCCCTGGTGCTGGATTTTACCTCACAACACTATTAATAACCTGTAATTCTTTTCCACGAGTTAGACTAAGGGACTGTTTTCTTCCCTGTGAGTTCAAAAACTCAAGTTGTGAGCGTAGCTGACACGGTCTTTCTGCCTCCACCTAACTGTCTGCTGGAGGCACCTCATTCAATCCACGTACAGGAGTGGGCACGACGCACCCCAAATTCAGATACATCCCACACTCCCCATCCCTCTACATCTCGTAGTCCCCATTCAACTTCTGAAAGCCAAAATCTGAAGGTTTAACAAGTCCCACTGTGGGAAACAATATTCAGACTCGGAAAGGAAGGAAGTCTAACACTCATGGAAACAAGCTGGACAAACAGATGTCCAATACCCATCAGGTGGGAGTGCTCCAGAGGACTCTGCTGAGCATGGCTACTTGCCCTGCTGTGGCAAGCAGCTTGATCTTAGAGGCCAGCATGCTCAAGAGCACCCAGAAATGTGCTCAGGAGAGCTGATCACAGGACTTGGCTGCAGCACGAACCTGCTCAGGAAGGTCTGAGCTCTTCAACCTGTAGCAAGTCTGTCTTCTGTTCTGTTCCTCCCTCTTCCACCCACAGGCTTGTAAGGGGGTGGGGAAGGTTAGGAAAATGTTGCCCTACTTGCTCACCCCCTGCACCGGGAAGGTCCCCGGCACGCAGCACCCCTCTGCCAGGAGTGCATTCTGATCATGTTTTGAATGACTATTGGTATTTCTGAGCCTCAAGCCTGCAAAACACTGACGCTGCCTGCGACAGAACAAAAAAGTGATGGGTTTAGAGAGAGTCTTTGCAGCGTAGCCTTCACTTTAGCTCTCTAGAGCAACGCTGGGAGGCTGAAAGCCTCCTTTCTCAAGCGCTCCCAGCGCCACTGTCGCCTGAGATCACCTCAGTTCCCACCAAGGCGGCTTCTCCAGCACTGCTCGCAGAAACGCCCGGGTAAGGATTTACATTTCAGGGCTGACTCCTGGCGAATGGCACTCCTTGCCCTGAAAGCCTCTATAGGAGAGCTGAGCAAAGCAGGGGTGGTTTTCCCTTTGATCTGACAGTTGCATTTAGAAGACAAGAAGCAGCAGCTTCTATGGCCAACGTTTCACACTGAGCTGCGAAATACCTGGTAAACAGAGAGGGGCTATTTCATTTACTGGCCTCACATTACAGCTAGGAGAGCAAGCGTAACTGGTTCTGCTGGATTTAAACAAAAAAAAAAAACCCAGACACAGGAAATCAGCCAGTGACATTGGCTCCTAGTTTGTCCTCTAGTTATTGATCCAAAGTGATCTACTCCCCGGACATTTCAGAAAATTAAACCGGTATCATCTATAATCCCATCCCTTGACCAAACACCTTCTTGCGCTCCAGGGCAAGGCCAGAGCTCCCTGCCGGATAGCCGTGAGCAGAAGCTGCCGAAAACCAGCACTCACTTGTTGTACTCGCTCGTGGTGGGAGTGCGGTCTCTGTCTCTCTCCCTTTCCCGTTCCCGCTCCCGCTCCCGCTCCCTCTCGCGCCTCGAGCCCGAGTACTCCCAATGGCTGCTGCTGGAACTGCTCGTGCCTTTGTCCACCGTCGTCACCCAGGGCGTGTGGGACGTGGAGATGGGCGGGTAGCTGATGAAACCTGAATCTGCAGGGAGAGAGCAGAATCCTTGTCCATCTGAAGCATTAACAGCACCCACGCTGTCCCCCCCTTGCCAGAGATACCCTCTGGAGGTACAGCTGAATCCAGGGAGGCAATGATGGCTGAGCTCCCTCCTGTCCTCACTTTCCCTTTTTACTTTCAGCAGTTTGCTAAGAACACGGGAACACCTTTTCCCTGAGGAGGACGCAAGCAAGACCAGATATTTACAGACAGCGCTGCAAAACCTCCCCAGCCCCTTACGCAGCACATTACAGCAAGGGCTACGCGCTCCCCCGGCTCCTGCTCTCTGGAGGTCCTGCTATATAGGGCATGCTATAAGGTCTCCACCGCGAAAAGTTTCAATCCATCCCGCCCAGACATCCTGGCTTGGAGGGCAAAGGCGCTGCAGTGCTGAGGCACCCCTCTCCCGCCGCCGACCTCCCCCGCCGCCGAGCCGGCTGAGTTTGGTCAGCCCCAGGCTCTTGGCCACCCTTGCAAGGCCTCACTTCTCAGCAGGCACCTTCTCGCCCACGGCGGCAGGCGGGGAGGACCAGTGGCCCCGGCTGTCAGCGACGGATGCCACCTGAGCAGCCCAGAGCCACCAGCACTTCCCCAGCCAGCCGCTGGCCTGCTGGGGCCTGCTCGGCTGGACCAGCGGGCTCGTACCCCAGCGCAGGGCCAGCTGCCGAAAAGCTGCACACGTGGCAGCACCGGAGGCTCGTTTCTCAGGACGGCCTCATGCTGCCCACTCCTCCAACCACCTCCTGCAGCGGAGACAGCGCGGTGCTGCCTGTCATTCTGTCCGTTCAGCACAGCGAGGAGGTGCCGCTCCATGTGCTGGTCACTAAGGGGAGAGGACGCAGGCATTGCTGGCAGGGCTGCAACGGGGAAGGAAATCTGCTGAAATTCTGGCACTGCCTCTTCCATTACAAAACAAAAGGAGACAGGCGCTGCATGTGCCTGTAGGCAGGGAAGGTGATAAAGGGGGGAGGAAGGTGTTCAAAAGCTCAGGGAGGAGATGGGAAGCTGATGGTTGTGCTTGTCCCTACGGGCGGGGAAAAGCAAGAGAGTGAGAGCGAGTGTGAGCAAGTACGTGTGCAAACAAGCACGAGAACGTGTTGCTGAGGCACACGGGGCAGTTCCTCTGTTGCTGGGTATGTAATGTGCACTGAAAACTGTGACCTGAGGCTCAGCACTCAACTACAAAATCGCGTTCATCGCTGCTACAAAACATTCAGCTTCCCAAACGCCTGATGGTGCAAACTTGGCATGTGTTTCTAGTGACCGGGAGAGTTCGGGGCACAAGCAAGACCCTAAAGTTAAAGCAAGCGCAATGTCCATCAGCTTCAGAAAAGCCTAAACTACCAAATACCAGAGAAGAGAGAGAGAAGCAGTTTGACTGTTTGTTATCCTCAGTGCTCACCTGCAGAGTTGTAGCCAAATGGAGGAGGCTGCCTATTATTGTAGCTGGCTGGCTGGCTTTGGAGAGAGAAAAGGATGCAAGTTACCGACATCAGCGCGCCCTTGCAGCCAGGTCTGTGCTGCAAGTTTACCCAGTTTTTGTCTGTGAAACATCCTCATGGGAAAGCCATGGCTTCAGTGCATCTGTTTCACTATCAGAAATGCATACAGGTGCGGTGGCTTTGCCACAGCTTCTGAAACTGCTAGAGCTCAACTGCTTGCCCTGCTTTACCCCTCCAGTCTGTAAATCAGGCAGGCTTCCCGGGAAATAACCAGTGCTTACAAAGAACCCAGAGAATCTTTGTAGAAAACATCCGAAGAAACATGCTGTCAACTACTCTGCACTAGACCTAAACACACGCCTAGATTTTATTGACTCCTTCCTGTGCCGTGAGCACGACAAATCAAGGTAAATGCACAGAGGATTCCCTACGGACTCTGTTCTCGCCCCCGACCCCAACCCACGACCAGCCTAAGAATTACTGATTTTAGACCTATCCTCCACCCTCCCTCGCTACGGAGGAGCTGTACCAATGGCTCAGCCCAGGTGTGGTCTTACCCATCCAAGGTTGGAATGAGGAGAGCTGGTGGTGGTGCCAGAGGAGGCGGGAACAACCCTAGACACAGAAGCATAAGTCATCACAAAGGTCTCACAGCTTGCCACGAGGGAACAAGATTTCATTGCTGTTTACAGTTAAAAGCAGTTAAAGCATCTTGTTACTCTAAACAAGGCCCTGTTTGAAACGGAGTAATTTTCCTTCAGGGTTGTATCTCCTACCAAAATGAAACCCCTACAGCTGTGCTAGTTCTGTAGGGGTACGGAAAGAAAAATACAGGAAGAGCTACCTTCTGTTTCGGCTTATTCATCTTAAACATAAGATTCATTAAGGAGTAAATATCAACCCGTACAGTCCTGCAGAAGACAGAAAAGTCTGGTTCTTGGGATGCAGACACATTGCAACTACAGCAAAGGTTTTATTGCTCCATTGATTAAAACGAGTAACTTTGCCTCTTACAAAGCACGTAACATAGAAGTTACCTGGTTTTGTTCATTCTTAAGGAAAGCCAATTTTCTGAGCACATATACATTTAAAAATCACAAGGCATAGCACCAACAATGCAGAGAGAGTTGTCTGAGAGGCCTGACGCTTTAAAAATGGGCCCGATGTCAAACACAAGTGCTGTTATACAAAATCACAAGGCAGCATCTTCAAGAAAGCAGAATTAAGCAGGAGTTTACAAAGGCCACTTCCAGAAGTGACATAAAGCCTTGGAAGCCAAAGTCCTCAACCCTGACCAGTCTGAAAGTGAGGAGGATGTGCTGACTGCTCCTAAGGGAACTTCTTAAACTTGTATCCATAACTATAAGCAACCATTATTTCTGTAGGCAGCTACCGGTGCCAACAAGAACAGACTAACCACCCATTGGCTTGACTTTGCATAAAAATTCCTCTGTTTATTATTAAGCAAAAAAAAAAGGAGGAAACTGTACTGATACAAAGGACAGGAGTCATCTGATTAACTGCAGTCACTTCCATTGAAGCTAGCAGCTCCAGGTTCCTTTTTAAGTCAGTGGCGACTGAGCCAGCATAGTCAACAAAACCATGGGATAATTCATCACCTCTTACTGTAAACACCTAAAACGGGTCAGGAGCACCCCTCCCTAGAAGCATCTCACCACAAAAAGAGGTAGCCTGATGTCTCCAGCTCAGCTAGTGCAGGTCTATGCTGCAAACAAGTTGAGGGACACGTCTCGCTCTTAGGTGCTTTGGGGTTTTTTCTTCCTTTTCCTAAGATCTTCCAATAAAATGTAATGCCTAGAGCATTTCGATCACGCTTGCTCATCCAGCGCAAGTACTTCGAAGTACTAGTGTGAGAAACACCTAACTCGAATGGTGGTGGATCATCATCATTATCGTAATTAGCAGGTATTCTCCTCATCACCCTTTCCAACCCAGTTACCTGGAGTGGAAGTTCTTTGCAACAGCCTGGCCATTTCGTCCACCTCACTCCTCCCAAACAACTTTAATCTAAACGCACTCGACTAGCGACTGGGCGCTGCAATGTCTACAATCAAGACCAGTTTGCATCCATTTTCACTACAATATAGTTCTAAATCCAAGCTTACTATGAGCAGGTTCCTTCCAGTACAACAACGAAAACCAGCTCTGCAATATTATTGCACATTGAGAGGAGTATGAAAAGTGACATTTTAACAACCACAGGAATTTTCTCAGTCTGAGGGACAGCCCAGCTAGCGTAGCTTTTCCGTATTTCCATTTGGGAAGCCCAGGGCAGAGCATCAACACAAAAGCACGGACACAAAAGCTGTGAATCAAGTCTGACACGTCTGACATACAGTGAGGACAGGCACATCAAAGTCCAAAGTGCTTTGGGTGCAGACCTGTTGCAAGTACGTGAATCAAGTGTACAGTATAGCACAGAGGCAGTGGCCTGACCGCATATACGCAGTCACCATCAGCCTTGGATTTTCAGGCGTACGGCATCTGGTCAGAACTATCGCTCCAAACGGTCTGCTATACAAACAGCTAAATTTGTTTTCTCTGGACTAGGCAAAATTTCCAGTTTAAAAAAAAAAAAAGAATTACAGCTAGAGGAAACTAATTTTTATAGTACTTCTGAATTAGTGGGGTTCTTAACTTACGCACAAGATTGGTTGTTACATTTCTTTATTAGTATTCACCATCTCTACTGCATACCAGGGAGCAAAGGCTTCTGATGGAAATGGCATTTGTTCTGCTCAGTCTCACACTCCAAATTCCTACACAAAGCACCAATTTGTCACTCAGACTTTTGCTGTGCAAATGCCGTAACAAGAACTAAACCATTTCAAATCTAAGTAAGTGGCTTTTGCCATCTGAAGTTCTCTGTTTCACTTTCTAGATTGGTCTTCAGAGACAGAACAAGATAGCATTAAGACGTCCTACAGATTAGTGTTTAGGGCCAGAATATAAGATAAACAGCTAGAGTTCAATGCTGCATTGGAGTTTGTTAGCCTTAAATTAACTGTGCTCTAAAACGGGTCTTGGTGTCACCCTATCTCGTGTAACTTAATCCAAAATGTTCAGATAGGGCCATCTGTGGGGTCAGAATCATTGCTGTTATTAAGAGCAAGTTAACACCTACCTGGAATAGGACCGGGTGGTGGCAGACCTACAGAAATAAACAAGCAAGCAAAACAAGTGAGGACAACAAGTAAAGCACATCATCTCCGTTCCTCAAGCTAAACCTAAAACCATGCTTTTGAATACATTTCACATATTTGAGCAAAACAGACCAGCAGAAAAATTGGTGCTATTAAGCAGTAACTAGCCTACAAACTGTATCATTTTCCCCAGTGATGATCTCTTTACCTTTATATTCTAATTTTAAATGTTGCTGCTCTCTTACAATGCAGAATTCCTTTTTCCAAGCGTCAACACACAAACGATTGGTTTGGCCTTCAGAACAGCGGAAGGAGCTGGAGAGGAGAACCTGCAGATGCTAGTGTGTCCTTTTGCTTGTCTATTGGTTTGGGTTTTTTTTAAACTTTTTTTTTACAAGTCAATCATAACTGCATAGTGAAATCAGACACCCTGGTCAACGACCAAAAGAACGCATGAACAATTTATCTTGATTTTGCCAGTCATTTTAATGAAAGGCGGTAGGAAAAGCTACCATGGTCCACCAGCAAGTACTGCAGTAATAATCCTCCTCAGATTAAAAGCCTTGACCGTACTTTTTTTAATTCTGTATCTTCTGCATGTGGAGCCAGTGCAAAATATAGGAGTTACTGCACAACACGCTCCTGGTGACTTCTCAGAAGTCTGGCTGCTGCCTACAGGACCAGGGAAAGCCCAGAGCCTGGCCTTCGCTTCAGCCTCGATGCACTATTTAAGCCAGAAGCAACAGGGGCACAGACATGACTCCGGCTGGATCTGAAGATGCGCAGACTTCGTAGGAAGTGAAGACAGAAAAATGTGTCTTAGGCCGTGGCCAGTACGTCTGTAAACTCGCACTGAAAAGGGTCAACAGAAAAATGACCCTGTGCCCCCTGCAACACGCTGCACGAGTACGCAAATTTGGCCTGTTCAGCTGCAAAGTTCTTTGTTCTCTCCACCAGTATTGCCCTATTTTGCCTGGTGCCCAGGAAGAGCACTACTGGCCTCTGTGTTGCAGATGCATTAAGAAACTTTGTGGAAACTGAGTTATTACATGCACAGAAGAGACAGTGAATCTGTTCTGTAACATGATGCTCAAGACAACAAAGTAGAAAAAAAAAATTTTAGAGTTTTTACCTCCACTATCTCAATAGGATTCAGGACTCAGCCTGTAACTGCAGAGGCAAGGGGCACTCCTGCAGACACGGGACTTAGCTCGACAGTGTCTTCTCAAGTGCCAAGTGCTCTCAGCACAATACAAACCCATCTGGTTATTGGTAAGAGCACACAAACTTGTCAATGCTGAGGACTGACCACCCCCTATGGGCTAGAAACTCGTGGTAAAGATCTCCTTTGTATTATTTATATTTTGCTTTTAAAATGAAGCACTGCTCTAATGTCTGCATTGGACACTAGGCTCTTCTAGGAGCAGTGAGAATCATTCTGCAGTGGCAGTTGGTACAATAAAATGCACAGAAACAAACACAGAAAGATACAAATCTTGGTACTTCAAGGCATAAACCAACCAAGAACTGACCTGGATTAGGAGGAAAGTTGTTTGTTAGAGCTGCTGTTGCAGAATTGCCAATTCCAGCATCGCCCTTGAAACATTCGGAATCAGTTCTAGCCAGACAGGATCCTGAACTAAACTGTCTGCTGATCCGACACAGGATAGCAATTCCTACATTCTTAGCTTCCTCCACAGATAAACAGGAACCCATTTCTTTATATTTATCAATAAAGCGAATGGCTTGGTAGCACCCAAAGGCTCGCTCACGGGAACAAAGCCTAGAGTTTTTTTCCAAGGAACAGCTGCCACATTTGCAGCAAGGGCAAATGCTAAACAGGCTGATGGAAACACTGAACAAAGACTGGCCAGGTGTAAGGACCTGTTACCCGATTGCTCGACTGTCCCATAGCACCTACCGATTAAACCTTTGATTCGCTGCGAGCCTGGGACGTCCTAGCTTGCAGCCTCAGGCTGCCGTCCGTTGCCGTGTGAACACGTACCTGGAGGATGCAGGGGAGGTGGAACAGAAGTAACTGGTGGAGGAGGGTGGAGGAAGTGTGGTGGAGGTGGCCCAGCGAGCGGGGGAGGCGGTGGGCCTGCTGGTGGTGCAAACGGCTGCTGCTGAGGTGGCTGTTGGGGCTGCGATGGCTGCTGGGGCTGCTGGGGGGGCTGTGGCTTACTTCCGTGGTCTCCAAGGACCTTAGAAGGCAGAGGAACGAGAAGAGAGCATTTTAATCTCTTGGCTCCTGCAGCTACGACCTCACTCGCTGTGCTGGCAGAAAGGGAGCATATCACCAAACCAGGCAGCACTGCAATACCTGGAAAGACCAGGCCATGCTATACCCAGGGGATAACATCTTTTGGGGAGGAAGGAAGGTTGATCAAAGCAATCAACACACTTAGCGAGGTATCTTCTCTCACGCAGAACAGCAGCGAGACGAGATTCGAGCTGTATACACAACTGTGCAAGACAGCTGACATTTCAGTGTTACGATCACCTTTTGTTCACAGGAACTGCCACCGACACAGGCTTCAGATTAAAAGCTGCCATATTTGAGGGTGACACAGTAGCACTTCCTTTTTTTCTTTTAACCCAATTTATCTTTCCCGAGGGCAGCAAGAGGCCAAATTCTGCTCTAGGTTGTGCCCACGGAGGTCAAAGGAAGACTGGATTCACATCTGTCTGACAAAAGCAGGTCACATACCCACTACTGCTGAAGGAATGATCGATATGCAGAGATACCAGAATGACCTGGAAATACAGGTATCAATGCTTGTAAGTGGGAGGAGCAACAACCATTTCCCAGCAAATTCTTTCTCTTAGGCAAACTCTTTTTTTGGGGCCATTGTAGGCAAAATTTGGAAAACCGACCACTAAAAAAAATAAACAGACCACAAACACATGTAAAAACAAAACGAGGAATTGCATCTAGACAGGGGAAAGGTTCCATATTTGGGTTTTTCTTTTCGTGATTTAGGAGTGGTTGCTAGGAGGAAGGTGGTTAAGAGAAGAGTTCTTGGCAGATGGTCCTCAAACCCTACACATAGCAGCTTCCTACCTAGAAGCCAACCAGAACGTTACTGTCATACACTGGACATGCAAGATCAGAACGGAGCCCTGTTTTAAACCCCAGGCTTTTATTTCTTGTAAGAGACAAGATCCAGTAACACAGGCCCACCCTAAGCCTGAAGAGCGGGCTGCATCTAACGATGCTTAGACTAAATGTTACTTCAAAGTACAAAGAAACACAAGCCCCAAGTAGAAATCCTCCATTGCAGAACTGGAGATTCCAACCTGACAGTGGAGGGGAAGGGAATAATCCACATAAGAGCCTCCCAGCTACACACCCCAAAGAATACTTTGGGAGAGCTGATGAGAAAAGGAACTTGGGCCTCACCACTCAGATGGGAAGGCTAGTCTTTAAAGGACAATCCTAGCTCCTAGCAAGATAAAGCTTTTAACACAGAAGTTAATTCGACCTGCAGAAGGGAACGATACATGCATACGCCTCGACAGGGTTGATATACTACCTACTGCTTTGCAGACAGAAACAGTGACATGGGAGGTCAGGAATGCACAGACATTTGCTCAGGGTTCACCAGAAGTGCAATAAAATCAGTAATTTGTCAAGAGGGCGCAAAACTTTACCTGAATTGGGTTTTCCTCGGAGGCATGCTTATCACGACGTCTTCCTTCTACTCTCCTAATTGTGCCTGCCTGGCCACCGATCACATCAATTGTCCCACCCAGCTTCCTGGTACAAAGCAGATGCATCTTTTTAGGCTCAAAGACATTAGAAGGAGCAGTTTTCCCCACTATTAGACAGACTTCTCTCATAGATTCTTTTCCACCAGGGAAAAAAGTCTCTAGAGGCAGCGCTCAAATTGGACAAGAGGTGAATGAGAAGTCCTTTTTCACTTTTGAGCAATTTGAGCTCTGCTTGCAGGGGTGAGTTAGGTCTCTCTGAACACCTAGAAACATGATCCAAAGCATTACCACATGCAAGCATAGTAACAGATTGCACACTCTGGTTCAGAACTGAAATCCTTTACTCGCTCTCCAGATTTGAATAATCATTCCCAGATCAGGCTCAGAGAAAGTGGAGAATATTTATCAGGAGAAGCCTTTAATGTTATCAGACCAGATTTTTCCTGCTTTCTGTCCAATCTTCCAAGTGCTGCTGATACCACTGAAGTTATTTACAGATCAGATTCTCAGACACTTTCTAGCCTGCCTCCCTGGGGCCTACTCTGTTTCTATTAAAGTCAAAAGTTTTGCACTGCCTTCAATGAAATCAAGGCCAGATCCTTGAGCAAAAATATATTAATATAGCCAAGAAACAGTGCTGTCTATGCACTAGAGGAAATCAGTCACAGAACCTACAACTTTCCCTGTTCTTTCATCTCCATACCCAGGTCACACCTGGGGGAAGAACATTTTTATAGGAGCTCATTGTAAGGTCACCACAAGTAACCGTTTGTGAGAGAGAGAAGTGCCCGCAACTGAAGTTTAGGAATCCCTCATCCTACAGTCACGCAACAATTGATTTGTGTAAGTATGGCCTTAAACGTGTTTTCCTGCAGTTAGGACAGAAAAACCTCAGCTCTTTTCCAAGTTAGACAGCAGAATTTTCTATCTCAGTAGGAAATTTAGACAAAATGCCAGCTAGTTGGTGAGATAAAGTTTTCTCACTGAAATCTGCTCACTTTGTTTCAGTAAAAAAAAACCATAAAACACAAAAAAACCCAAACAAATCCAACTCATTGCTAAGCCCATGGTTTTTGATGCTGCTGCAGTGTATGAAGATACTCATTCTGGTCCTGACCAAAAGCTCTGCTGCACGAACAGAACCTCATGTGTCAGTACTTTCAAAACCAGACTGCAAGTTAAAACAGACAAAAATGCTGTAGAGTTACAATAGCATCGGCTTATTTTGCAATGGTGTAGATTTTTGAAAATCTCTAACAGCTGGAAACAAACCTGACTGCTTTGATGGCACTATGAAGGGGGACAGAAATGTCAGCAAAGTGCTTAAATGCAAACCAATGAAGTAGATCTTTAAAGCCTATACTTGAAGCAGATAGTTGGTTCTCTCTCAGACAAAGTGAAAAGTTGGAATGCAAGACTGATTTCTGCAAGACAGGTGTGCAAAAGATATAATGTGAATAAAGCAACAGAAACACCCAGATCCCAAAGTTGTTCTTCACAGCGTTGTTTTTCTGAAGCTTTTGATAAAAACCCATCAGCCTTGTAAGGTCAACGTGGTTTTCCCAGCAGAGGCTGCCCATCAAAATGACTCAATTGTTTTGCTTTGTCCAGCCTTCTGGATCCTCTCTCTCATTGGAGAAAATAAGTAATTAGCAAGCACCAAACAGCGCAGCACACAGGTTCAGAAACCAATAGCTCCTCTTATCAGCTGCCAAACATGTAATCCACTTCAGCAGGCAAAGATTAACATCGTGGGAGTAAGAATAAGCCAAGTAAGCATAAGCAGCCAGCAATGTAAGCCCTCAAAGCTGAGGTATTTGCCTTGTTTTTTTCTACTCCCAGAGATGTGCCCCTTCAGCTGGGATCTAGGTTTCCCTCCCTGCACAGCACTATGCTGAGGATATCACCAAGGAGAGGCAAATAGGCAGGCAAAGGTTGCACAACCCTCAGGATAGCACTGCTGAAGACAACAGTTACTGAGTGACCACCGTAGCTTCCTGTAAAGTTTAAAAGCTTCTCCTGTTTCAGGCTGGAGGAGATGCAGATACAGCCCAGGCGGATCCCAGCTACCCCTATGAAGAACACAGTGCACACAGGCTTTATGTCTGCATCGTCCCTTACCTGTTAGGAGGAGGCCCAGCCTTCATGCGTCCTCCCACCAGAGCCAAGAAGTCCGTTTTGAATTCTGTTTTGATGATGTTGTTTTCCACTTCTTTTTCAGCATTTCCTGTTCTTCCTTGCTGAACCTATGGAAGGCAATACGTAACACATAGGTTTAATGCCTTTACTTTCAACTGAACGTAGCATCAGAGAATAACTCACAGCAAAGGAAAAGGGCTCCCTTGAGGAACAATAACAGGGCTCTTGCGAACAAGCAACCTATTCTTCGGTCAAGGCGGCAGACGTTTCTGTAAACTAGCCGGCTATTCCAGCCTCAGCCTGCTGTCCACTGTGTCCTGTTAGAAGTCCAAAAGTTTAATAATCTCGTATCCTGTTTCACGTAGTCCTTAAGTCAAAACTGGAAATAGTAATACTTGCTGTATTGACTCTTTGGCTGAAGTTCTGATTAACAGCTGTCAGCCACCTGATGGACTTCTGCAAAGGCTGATGGCCAAAGCAGTCTCCAAACGCAAAAGGCAGCCACACAACTGCAACCGTCAACAGCACCAAGCAAAACAGCCATGGATGCCCAGCTCCCCTCTCTACACCTCTCACATCCACAGGATCTTCCAACCAGACACCCCTATGGCTGGACAGCCTCAAAGTCAACTGGAAATTCACTCAAGTCTTGCTACTGTAGAGCTACCTGTCAGGCAGCTGGAACTGTTCGTTCTGTAGAGAAAAGATTTTCAGCAGAGAGATTTAATCTTTAAAGATACATTTTTATGTTTCTCATCACTGAAACAAACACAGAACAGTTAGGTATTAAGGTATCTTCTGCTCTTATACTCTCATCTCTGTGATTACAAAAACAAGTCCCAGTTTTATTGTAGCCATATGCAGGAGTAACACGTCACCTACCGTGATCTTATTTTCAGTGCTGATGGGAGGAGCAGGATCCAGTCCAAGCTGAAGCCGTCGCTGCTTTTCACAATAAGCTTTCCATGTTTCTTCATTGAATCCATAATTAAAGTAATCAGAAAGATCAGCACCTAACAAAGGGAGTAGAAGTTAACATAGGGATTCTAGCAGACTTGCATTCTCAAATTGTCCTTTAACTGCTTAAATGAAGAGTTAAGAAAACAAGAATCTTCTAGAGAACACAGCTTACTCTCCATTTCATTCTGTCAGAAAGCTGGTGTGTGCCACAGCGGAGATGGCTGCACCCTTCTGTGGGAGGGGGACTACAGCCTGAACAGCAGTGGGACCATTTGGGACAGAATACAGCACGTATGCAGGCTATTAAGAGACATGCCTGCAACCACTTATTCACCAACTGGATTTTTTCAGACTGGTTTCTTCCAATAGTCCAAATGAGTTGAGTGCTGGGGAGAGCACAGGAATGACGGTTCCAGCTACCACCACGAAACCAGGATGGTGCCAAAGAACCGTTTTCTTGGCAGAGCTAAGCCAACATGTTCTGCTCCCGACGATCATTGCCTTTGCTGTTTTGAGAAGAGATTCTGGGACTCACCCATTTTGTGAAACGGGGCTAAAGTGGAAGTTTTTATTGATATGTCTCAGACTACGCAAGTAATCACAGTTTAGTCATGATCCTAACTATAGCCTTCCAAGATTGTTATCTTACTTTGACAGTCTTCTGTGAAATGTGCCAATTCAGCATGAGCACTTCTGAGTAAGAGAGGCGGCCACAAACTGCTTGCCAAGAAAACGTAGATGCAGAGAGACAAACACAGCTGCAGCTAGCTCTGTAAGGCGTACCTCACAACAGGAAGCATTACAAAGCATCTCCTGGCCCTACTGAGGTGTCCCTCAAACATCCTCCTCTCAAAGGTAGTCCTACACAGACCCATTCTAAAAGAAGGAGCTGATACATAAGGGCTAAGTAAAACCCTTTGACCGTGCTGAGCTAGCATCTACACAGCAAGGTTTAAGTTTATCTTCTAGGTAGGACGGTCTTTCTGTTGTTATCCGGTTGTACCACCCAAATATGCAAATTTCACCAACACAGACTCAGCAACATGACATTTACATATCTATTTTATCAGCCTATATTTCAGCCCTTTATCAGTTCTTGCACACTGTATTTCTTCTTCCTGTCCCTCACTTAAACAACGTGCTGAACAATTAACTTTAAAGGATATAAACCTGAAAGGCTGTTGAGTAACAAGCTACTTGCCATCTAAAATAAACTTACAGGCCACACCTCTGCAGACATCTTCCCTCTATTCGTACTTCAACACTGTTTTAAGGCTAGCTGGCTTCATTTTGGTCCAGGGATGTCAGCGTGACCACAACGATTTCCATGCTTTATCTCTGAACTTCACTTCATTGTTTTCCTTCTAACTTATTTTCTTCCTAGCCCCCTCTTTCTCATTTCACAGTTGATGGGAAATCCCCTGCAGAAGAAAGGCTACATTTTCTATCACGTCTGTACTAGCTACTATTCATCACAGAGAGCTTTAGTGCTGGTTTGATACCATGACACGTTGATGTAATTATCAGCACTGTCATGTACTCCGATGCTCTTCATTTCAGGTGGGCAAGAGATACCAAATACGCACTGCAGACAACCTTATAAAAGCACTACTTACTTAGCATAGCAATATTTCTGAAAAGTAAATAAAGCACAGGGGCTGGCGGGGAGAAGTAGTATTTCTGAGAAGAGGCAAGTGGATTTTTTGCTTCAGTTAGCATTTCATCATAGCATGTTTTATGACAGTAGCACAGCAAAAATTTGGATCTTTATGGTTCCTTCATTTACTTTTGTATCAAATTCAGATGAAAACCAGAAGTTTATTTGTAGCATCCTACAGCTGTCATGCAAGAGTCGCTTACTGAGTAGAAATCTCCCTAATAGTAATCAGGAAGACAAAAGGGACCATGTACATATTAAAACCTGCTGCGCAAAGCACTATATGTCTGGACACAGTCTAGATAATATTTGTCCAGAAAAAATAAGTGGGAACTGCTCACTCGCAATCATGCACCTAGGGGCAGAATCTAGCAAAGTATTAGGCAATGCAGCTTTTCTGAAAGAAAAATCCTAGCCTTTCTTGTCAGAGTAGACAGTGTTTTCCTTCCTTTTATTCAATTCTTTGCAGCAGGAGAATTCAACACAAACAGGCAGCTTTCCTGTCATGACATGGGCTCGCATGGTAATTCCCACCGTCGCTGCCCTCTGCAAGGGGTACTTCCCTGCAGAAGTGTGGACATCCCCAGGACCCAACTGAGAAGGGTGCACGGGGATGACTCTGAGCTTGGCCACAGTGAGACAGAATAAGCGAGCTGCTGCACATGAAGAGGAGACCACACATCACCAACAGCCACATCCTGATCCTACTCAATTGACTTTAAGGCCAACAAACATTAGCATATCAGTATCAGTGCAATATTTTCTGGAACTAGGGAATTAATAAAATGGAACATTAAAAAAAAAAGTTGTTCCCTTCAAGGCAGTTAAACTAATAGAGTAAATGCAACCCAATTTTAGGTAGAAGCATGGCTTGATCAATCAGTAAATGTCACTGATTGTCTAGACAGGCATCAGAGGCTGAGCAATACGCATTGTTCTGATTTCCCTGTTCCCTGGCAGCAGTAAATGGACAGAAATTACATGTGAAATTAAAGAGACACAACTAAAACCGGAGAAAGTATTTACCACAAGAAACTGTGAGGCCCCACCTGGTTTCCTCCACGGTTTGTCTTCAAATGAATCTAAATCCACTTCTATAACAGGCAATCCATTTATATTCCCTGCGGCATCTAAGTCAATACCTTTGGGCTGCAACTTGGCTTTGGAGACAGAGAAACCGTTACTACTTTTAATGCAATGCCTTTAATCCACTAATTTGCTGAGTAAATTACACCAGTCAAAAATAAAGTGCTACTGTGAATTCATTGCTGCCTTTATAGCACGTAGGTAACCACAATCAACTTTTCATAAAAATTACTTCAGTCATTCTATAAATAAATAGCCAGGGTATACAGCACTTGCAGTTGAACAGCAGAGAAGCAAATTCAACCCAGACTGGTACTACAGACAGAGTAAATTGTTAGAGCATGCATGAAATTTACCCCAAATGAAAAAAAATTATTATTGTCCCCAGGCAAAATATTTATTTTTCCCTCCCAAGATACACACATTTTTCTCATAACAAGAGACTTTTTCAGGATTAGTCTTAAGTGGACTGTGTACTAACTGGAGTCAGCAAAAATCTGTCAGGTACAGAATCTTCAAGGGGAATTTGTTCTTATTTTTTTCAACCAGAAGATAAGTCATTTGCATAAAGAAATGAATGCAAGGAAGTATACGAAGTCCATGAAAGGACAGTCTCACATACGAGGAAGGACGGAATCCAAGCCTCAATATACAGTATAAACTAAACTGAATGGTGGGGAAAATTTCGTCTGCAGAAATATGCAAGGCCAGAGTTTGTTTCTTTTAGTATCTTACACTGCAAGTAGCTGAGTATACTGACCACAGAGTTAAAAGTTCTTCTCCAGGCAATTTAGAATGTTTGGCCCTAGTGAAACAATATAGTTTAGAAATATTCTGGTTTTTTACTATAAAAGTAATAATCAATGTCTTTTTTTCTAGTTTAAATAGAATTATAATCAGCTTCTTCAGCGGTGGGTAATTAAATCATTCCATTGCACCCCAGACCCTCAGACTGTCCTAGGAGCGCTTATCTTTAGGAAACGCACCTACTATTCCTAGTTTAAATAAGATGTGCTAATTTTATGTCCTTCCAAACAGAGACCAAGATTTGCAGCTGCTCCAGCCATCAGTGCTAGATAAGTGAAATATTGCAAAAGGTGAAGGATAAAAATAACAGCAATACCTGAAGCAGATGCTCCATAGCCTCTACCCGTTTTTAAGTTTAGATTCATAGGAGTTCCCCTATATGGAAAAGAATCACTACATTGGTATTTGAACAAATCACTTGGTTGAAGATTTTCATGCAAAATATATTCAAGTCCTGACATCCTTCAGAAGATGCACAGTTCACCTGGGTTTACTCATGCCTCTCTATGATTATCAGTACTAAGTCTCAACACCTTAAAAGTGAGGCTCATTTGCCACGTAAGTTTCTCTAACCCCACAGAAACGCAGCAAACATACTGACCAACACCAGAAGATTGTCTTGAACATGAAGGGCAAGGTTATTTCAAAGAACGGTAGTTACCATTCTGCCCAGGAACGCACTTAGGATTTAAATGGAACTGAACAACATGGAAATCATAGCTGCACACAGATCACAGAATGCGGAGAGAAGGTAGAAGCAGATTTGGAAAAGGATGTCTGCAAAATCTAGTGAGCTGCTAACGGGTGGAGCATTGCTCTCCAGAGTCATCCATCAGGCCGAAACTCCCTCTACAACAAGGGAAGGAAATTATCCATCAAGTGGAAAAATTACAGTATGCTGCAAAGCACATGTAAGTCATTTCCTTAAGAGGAAGGCTGCTAGCCACAAGCAAAAATGCTGTCTTACTATTTTTATTCAATGCAAATTAGGTAGAATTTTAAGTCAGTGACATAATCTCCTGGTTCACAAATCCAGCCCCACCATTTCTGAATCATGAAAAATCAGACAGCTGAAAATGAGTAAATTCACAGCTTATGCAAATTCTTATCAATACAGATTTTGGTTCTTGAAGTTTTCAAAGATCATGAGTTAAACACAACTTCCCTCCTTTGATTTTGCCCAATTAGTAATTATTTGGTTAATTTTCCAAAGCAGACCCATGAATTATCATTCCTATTTTATAGATGGATTCTCTGACAAGCAAGTGCAGGACAGAGCTGCCCATCAACCCCTAAGCCCATTCCGGTGTTCTAGCCATTACTCCCATATCTCCCAGAAGACAGATGAGCTCTCATCCCTGCTTTCAATCCCAATCAACACGCTAGAGCTACCTCAGATCAAAAAATCGACGCCGTAATCAGCAATACATACATGTACGATGGTGCTCCCGTTTTAATGTTGCCAATAGTAACTTTCACGTCATCATCATCACTGTCGCTATCGCTGTCATCTTCATCATCTTCACCACTTGGAAGGGCCTAGCAACAATAAAAGCACACAGGAGCTCATTAATACATAAAACTGATAAATTCCCTGGGACAGTAAGCAAAAACTTACAAAGCTTCTATGATGAAGGACTATTAGAAAGAATGATTCTGATATAAAGACATAACTTTGTACTGCACTCCAAGGCTACACAAAGCTGTCTCTGGAGGCAAAAACCATGGAAGTAACCAGTCTTCAACATAAATAGACAGCTGCCCACAAAGAAACTGCTAAGTCCTTTGAAGAAGTGACCCTACATGAGAATCAGGGTAAGATTTCTGAAGGCAGGGAAGGTTTAGCTCGGTTCTAAGAATTTCATCACGTCCCACAGTTCCTCTCCCCTACTCTTTCTTGAAAGAGCTAGGGCTTTTTCTGACACATCTCCTTCACAGGTCCATGGTGAAAGTACACAGTCACAAATAAAAACCACTGAAATACATTCACCAGGCTTCACCTAAAAACCTTGGAGCAAATATTCTCTCACCACAACTTTTGCGGTAGGAAACTGCTGAGGAGTTTGGCTTGGCTTATTTAGCACAATCAGTCCCCAAGCCGCTTAACTTTACACAAGAACTTTACAGCTGCCGATTCGACTCCAGTGCAGCACGGCTGCTGGGGCACAAAAGCAAAGGAAGTCTTCCAGATATCCAGCAGCGCAGTTTTGCAAGATGCATGAGCTGAATTAAGATGCATGAGCTGAATTAAGATGCATGAGCTACAAAAGGGTATGATGCATCCCCGCTACAAAAGGGTATGAGGAAGGTGTTCCTAACCCTCCCGCGTTTTCCATGGCACATGGGTTTGTCAGAACTCTGTGTGAGCCCTCGTGACATACCACAGTGGCAGGCAAAAAAACCCATCAAAAAGACTAGAGAAGAAGGGGTGAAGAACCAAGCCTCCTCCTACTCTTCAGCACTGAGCCACTAGACTGTATTGTAGGAAGTCTGAGCCTGAATCAAAACTGATTCCCAGCACTTTGGGCTTTCTGTCCCAGTGCTTCCCATATTTTACTGGCCCTCGAGAAGTTGTACTAGATATTGAGCTGGAGGTAACACTGTGTTCAGCTTTTCCTGCCAGACTGCAGCGTCAGAGGCCCTCACCTGCCTCTTCAGTGGGCATAAGCAACACTTTGATTAGGGTTCGCTACCCACTACACAAGGTAGGCTGGAAAGAGAAGCCTGTTGCTGTAGTTAGCGCTGGGAACTGACTATCAGCATACTCCTACAGTACAAATGTAACGTATTAGGCACTACCAGCACCTTTACACTTCCACCTTTTTATCCACAAGTATTGAGAAGCAGGAAAATAACTCTGTCTACTGTTTGCAGTGGAACCCATACATGTTGTGACATCTCTCGGTCTTCATTGCTGACAGGCCGGTTCTCCTGAGGAGCGTCTTGCAAAGGGTGAGAAGATTCTGCATGTCTAGAAAATGTGACAGACAAAAGAAAGTGGACAAGCCCAATCTAGAGGTTCACATATAAACACTTCTAAAGCATTCATCCAGGTGACTTTCATATAATGGCTTTATTCATATAGCGTGTTTATTCTGCTGGCAGATAGCTCAACTGTACGACAAAAAAATTAATCATCCTTGCTTGGCTTTGCTTTTGTTGGAAAGAATCAGTTTAGCGCTTGCAAAGAGCGCCTGACAGACAGCATGGCTGCCTAGCCAAACACCACTCAACAGCTAAAATATAAGTGGCAGCAGTAAGAGCTTTCAGCTTTGGTTCAGCACAACCACAACTGATAGGAATAAGACCATAATAAGCAACACTTCACCTGGTCCTTAAAGATGCTAATAATTATACATACTTAGTAAGCAGCAAGGGCATCTGTCCCATAGAAATTAAGGAAGAAGTTACTTTAGTGTTTCTACAAATAGCTTACATTAATGAGTAGTTAAAATTCAAAGAAGAAGAGAGAGATAATTATCCACCCAATCTTCTCATTCATTACAAATTAGTCCTAATGCAACAATGGTCAGGTTCAGATTTACCTTCAATTAAAGAGTTCGTACAAATGTTAACATTGTTTATTGCATTAGCCAAGCCAGAAAGTCAAATTGGTATACACATGCTAAAAAAGAGTATGCTAAGTGTTACAAAACTAAAATACAAAGAGAGATCATTTTTCTCTAATGTCATAGGTAAAACCTAGTAGAACTTCAAAATAATTCTGGCTTTTCAAAACAGACACTTAGAATAGACCAGGAAACCCAATTCTCCACCAGTACTTTGTGGAGACGTTGCTATTAATTTAAAACCCCACCTCAGATAATAAACATACACAAGATTATCTTCAAAAAGAAACATACGTAACACCTAACAGAATCCAAACACTGTGCAGATTAAAGCCATTTCAGAGGCGGCAGGAAAGGAGACACCAAACAAGTAAGCCAAAAGATCACACTAACGCAACTCAGAAAGCAGTCACTGAGCATAAAAAAAGAACAATTTGAACAGTTACTGAAGGTCTCATATTAGAAAAGCCCCATATATAAAGAAATTCAACAATCAAGCCAAGATCAAAAAGAAGGGATGCAGGTTCAGTAGCTAACCACAGAAGCAAAGGTCCCATTTTCGCCAAGTTCCTGAGGTGACAGCTGAAGACGCTTGAAGTTATAAAAAGTAGGCAAGACGTCTAAGGGAAAATAAGCTTCTCAAAGTACTTCAAAGTTGCAGACATAGGCTATTACATAAGGACCAAAAGATGTCCACTGGAGAAAATCTCACAGGTGGCTCCAAAACCTTTTGTATTTTGTTTGCCAAATCCAAGCAACCTATAACATTGACCTCAACCCCAGAATTTTCTTAAGAATTCAAGATGACTGAATTAAGGAAGAGTGACAAGTATTACCTTCAGCTTCAAGTCACATGAAGTATCTGTGGGTGTGCATTAAAATTTATGAATCGGAGTTCAAATAAACATTTGCTAAGTAACAGTCTTTC